CACCACAAGAGGTGCCATTAGCCGAGCTCACTAAGTGGAATGCTATGCAGGCGAGTGGCGGCCTCTTGTCCTGGGTTCGATACCCATAAAGGTCCGCCATTTTATCCACCTCTTTGTGGCACGTACGTATAAGGGACACGGAGGCGGTGGTAGGAACCCCACCTGCTATCTCCATTTCTTATATTGTCTTATAATCGTTTTGGTTTCATTCTCTAATAGCACAGGAGCCATTACTCACAGTTCGTAGTCGGTCCCTGTGGGTGGGTGGTCTAAGGTGCGTAAATGATGCACAAGAGGACGCTGGTTCTAGACCCAGCGGCCGCCTCCATTTTTATTTTTTTTTCGTTTCCTTTTAAATGCATGGTAGCACCGGGATCTGTGCTGACGTTCCTAAACACCTCCGGACAGCCGCGACCACTAAGGCGTTGATCGGCTGGCCACGGGGCCCGGGTTCGATTCCCTTCAGCGATCGCTCTTTTGTTTACGAATTCTTCGCTCGGCCGAAGTCAAGGCGCCCGGCGAGTTTCGCATTCCAGTCCCAAGGGAATGGAACGCTGTTCACACTACACGCGCTACAAAGAGGTGGATAAAATGGCGGACCTTTATGGGTATCGAACCCAGGACAAGAGGCCGCCACTCGCCTACATAGCGGTGCAAAACTTTGAGCTCTTCTTGTAAATCCTGCTAATTTCACGTTCACCGACTAACGCCCTCAGCCCCGCACTGCGAAATCCGCAGACATCGCATCGCATCGCATCCAAAGTATAATCGAAAAAAAATAAAAATATTGATGGTGACCGGGAGTCGTCCCCACGCCTGCCGTGCGAGCGGTCCTCGGACCAGCAGCGCTATCCACTGAGCCACGGCCACACGACGGAGTGGCAGGGGTGACGGGTGACTATGTCGGGGCTCAACAGCCGAGTGCGTTGAGGCGCTGATTTGAGTGCTGAGTTGAGCCCCGGGAGCCGTGTGTCCGGTTCTCGGTGGCAGCGTGATTTTTTTTTTGTCTTTACTTGCTGCTCGAAAAGTAGCACGAAGGAGTAGCAGTAGTGACTTTGTCGGGGCTGTACAGCCGAGTGCGTTGAGGGGCTGAGTTGAGCGCCGGGAGCCGTGTGTTCGGTTCTCGGTGGCAGCGTGACTTTTTTTGTCTTTAATTGCCGTTCGAACAGTAGCACGAGGGAGTAGCTGTGGCGACTTTGTCGGGGCTCTGTAGCCGCGTGGGTTGAGGCTCACAGCAGTGCGCCGAGAGTCGTGCGTTCGCATCCCGGCGAGTGCGTTACATTTTCTTACTTTCTAGCTCGTTAAGGCTGTGTTGTTCTCGGCATTTTGTCACTTTCGTAGAGTGCAAGTGTTTGAATGGTATTTACTTTCGGATATTTTAATCATTAAATCGATGCGGGTATGAAGATGATGACAATATATAGCGGTGCAAAACTTTGAGCTCTTCTTGTAAATCCTGGTAATTTCACTTTCACGAATAACGCCCTCAGGCCCGCACTATGTAATCTGCAAACATCGCGAATGCCCGCTCCAAAGTATGATCGAAAAAAAAAAAGTAGTGATGGTGACCGGGAGTCGTGCCCATGCCTGCAGTGCGAGCGGTTCTCGGACCCGCAGCGCTATCGACTGAGCCACGGCCGCTTCTCTGACGTCGTGTCTCTCTGGCCTTGGTGTCAGCGGCGCCGGCGGCTTCACCCGCCGACGACGTAAAGGATTAATCTTGCAATAACCGCCAAACCGCTGGGTTTAGTGCAAAACACCTCAGATGCGAAAGTGACCGCCTCATCAATACGCAATAAACGAACTTGTACCGGCGCCGATCCGAGCACCAGGGCCTAACGGAGGGGCACTTGTTGAAAACGAGTACCACTCCGTTCGGAAAAAACTAGTTTTCTCGTAAACGGTACTAGATATCGACACGCGGTTTGCGGCGGACGATAGGTCTTGGCAGCGCGCGTATTTGCACCGCTTACACCACCTACCTATTCCGCCACCTTGTGTGAGAAATTCAGACGGGTATCTGCGGAAAGTAGTTTTTCCGATATAACTCGAAAAGGGTCCGACGGACTTTGATCGGTCAGGGTGGCTTACAGGTATTTTGACCTGCCCGACAACTTTTATAAAGAGGTGTTTTCCGAATTTCGGCACCCTTCTGTTACTTTTGAACGAGTAGTACCCTTTTTCGTTTATTTTTAACTGATGTACCCATCTTATGTCAAAGCGGGTAATTGTAGTCCTCTACTGTCAAACTAAGAAATCGAACGCAAAAAACCCCATCTCGATAGCACCTACCATTACGTCTAGGGTGCAGTTGCACGTTTTGCTTGAAAGTGGCCCACGCGCTCACTTCAAGCAGAGTTGCTTGAAATTTCAAGCAAAGAGCGCCT